TCAAAGAAAACCCAATAGTGAGTTTGATAGGAGTTACTACAAATGGATAAAGATGGTGATGAAATGAATCAATTTAAATGATAAACTTTTCTATTTTTATTTCTGCTAAAAAGCTCTAGTATGGACACTATAATAGGAGAGGAGAAATACCTGCTAATTTTGAAGCTGTTGTGGTATGATGAACAAGATTTAGCATCCCATCTTCTTCTATTGCCATATTCCAAAAAGAAATGTTTTTTGGACTCTGATTAGACTGTATTTCTATTTCTTTTTATCCTGTAGCTTTAATCTCTCTTCCCTCTGGCTTGTAAAAACAGTTTGCCCTGACTTATAAAATTTCTGAAAATATAAAAATAATATATGAGGAAAGTAAATATTGATAATTCCATATAGAGATGCAGTTCTTAACACTTTGGTATAGGCTTTTCTGTCTTCTTTACTGTAATATGCAAAGTTTTATCTCCTTATTCTCTGTAATCATATTATGTATTCCAGTTTTTAAGTTGCTTTTTCTTCATTTAATATGCTGTGAGTCTCTCTACATATTAATGAACATATTTATCATTATTTAAAAATGCATATGCTTTTACATGGCTATGTAGTATTTATTTAACTGATCTACCGAATGATGGACATTTGGGTTATTTTTCACTGTTATAAAATGCTGTGATGAACATCTTTATACATATAGCTTTGCTTAACAAGTATTTATGGGTGCCTTGTGTGTGTTCAAATAGACTATGCAAGGCACGTGGTCTGTGGGAAAGAATAAAATTGATAAGATCTTTGTTTTCATAGAGTGTAAGATAAATTCCTAGAAATGTAATTAATGGTGAAGTTTGGTCTGCATTGGTGATAAACTTAAATTTAAGATCTTTAAATTATATTTTATTCTCAGACTACTAGTATTAGGAATGTGAATTAGGACTCAGATGCTATTAGTCACCAATATTTTAAAATAATTCTTCTCTTCTTTAATTATATACTTGCTAAATTTCATTAATGTGTATTTGGTGGTTTTACTTGATTAGCTGTCTCACGTCTCAGTGATTGCCCTGAAAGATTGTTTCTAGTTAAAGCTGGAAGACAAGCATTTTAAAGTAAAGCAGTTTATATATTAGTCTTTTCTGTAATTTATATAGCTCCTTGGTATATGTACTTTAATATAAAAAGTGAATCGTTTTCTAATTCAGTGAAACTTCTATTAAATTAATTTTGATCTTTCAATGAGAATGGATATAATACAAACAACTTAGTAATTATGAATATTAAATTTGCAGTTGAGGTAATTTCCTAATTAATAAGAAATTATATTATACTTGTGATTCTATCAACTGAAGGTATAGTTATATACTAAGCCAGCATCTGACAGTATATGGGACAGTTGCCTCTTTTTAAAGAATCTGGCCGTGGTTAGAGACTTAAAGTGATGTGGAAATATTTCCACATTTTTACCTTTCTTCTGTAATATGGAATAGATCCTTACTTTTTGTGGGTATCATATAACAAAAGAACACATGTTTTGGAAAGACTGGAGTTCAAATTATATATCATATCCCAGAAACGTGTTCTAAAGCTTGAAAATTTGTATGTGCAGAAGAATCCTTAAATATCAGCTGCTAGATAATTTCTCTAGTATTTCTGTAGATGCAAGCAGTGTTTCCCATGAGCAATCCTTTATAGAGAATGTTATCTACTAAAGGTCTTTCTTCCTTGGCCTTTCAATCTGCTTTTGTGTAAGTATATAAATACAGTATTTTCTTTCTTTTTTTTTTTGGTTAATATTCACCCAAGGATATTTTTTACATTTTTTGTTTTGTTTTTTTAGAGAGAGAGAGAGAGAGAGGGGTGGAGACAGAGAGAGAAACCTTGATGTGCGAGAGACACATCCATTGGTTGCCTCCTACACACACCTTGACTGGGTATCTGGCCTGCAACCAGGGTATATGCCCTTGACTAGAATAGAACCTGGGACCTTCGGTCCGCAGGCTGATGCTCTAACCACTTAGCAAACTGGTTACAGTATTTTTCTCTTAATTGATATTCCACTTGAAGTTAAAAAAAGGTCATATTTTCACATATATGTCAAATAAGTGTGTCAAAATCTGAATAGAAAATAAACAAGTATGGCAGGTAAAGCAAATATACCAGCACCCTGGGATTTAATGTGCATTCTGTTCGAATATTATATTTAATTCTGAGCTTCTGGTCACCCAGTGAAAAGGGAAATACAGTTTCTGTCATCATCATATGATCAGAAGAGACAAACCACTTCTTTTTTTCTGAATTCTAAGGTTTTCAGTATAAATCAGCTTTCCTCAAATTGTGAATATAGAACAATTACTCTGCTAAATATTAATATATCAGGATTAAGTTTAGTAAAAACTGGGCCAAATAAGATAAACCACTTATTATATGTTTTTTTCATAACCTTAAGTATTCCTTATCTTCACTTTCTTAAAGAATGATAAAGTATTTCCCTAATTTATTTTGCCATGACATGCTTTTTAAAAAAATATATATTTTATTGATTTTTTACAGAGAGGAAGGGAGAAGGAGAGAGATAGAGAGTTAGAAACATCGATGAGAGAGAAACAATGATTCAGCTGCCTCCTGCACACCCCCCACGGGGGATGTGCCCGCAACCAAGGTACATGCCCTTGACCGGAATCGAACCTGGGACCCTTGAGTCCGCAGGCCGACGCTCTATCCAATGAGCCAAACCAGTCAGGGCCATGACATGCTTTTTAAAGTAAATACTGAGCTTTGCAAGATGCTGGTATAGGTGCTTAAATATGATGGATTGTGTCTTCAATACCATTATTGCAGAATATATCACAATTGCTTTTTATTTGACCTTTCCTTATGTTGATTTAAGTTCTTTTGAAACACAATCCAAGGCAAGGATAACTTCTTTTAAGAACCTGGATTCTCCCTATCCATCCAGAATGGCTGTGTTTGAAAAGCATGTGCAGGAGGGTGTTGGGAACTAAGTATACCTGTTGTCTGCCAGACCTGGCAGTTGGTCTAGGACAGTGATGGCGAACCTTTTGAGCTCGGCGTGTCAGCATTTTGAAAAATCCTAACTTAACTCTGGTGCCATGTCACATATAGAAATTTTTTGATATTTGCAACCATAGTAAAACAAAGACTTATATTTTTGATATTTATTTTTTATATTTAAATGCCATTTAACAAAGAAAAATCAACCAAAAAAATGAGTTCGCGTGTCACCTCTGACACACGTGTCATAGGTTCGCCATCACTGATCTAGGAGTCTGTCAGATGCAGACTTAGTCCAGACTGAGGCTGATTCTATTTTATTTTTCCTAGTCAAATCTGAGTCTCCACAATCCAGATCTATGAGGGCTACAGCTGTTTTCAATATGGAGCAAGGGCCTGAGTTCTCCACCTCCTCCCCAGGGACCTGCTGGGACTAATTATTTTGAAAACATTGTAACAGCATCTTCCAATCCATTCCCAAAATGTGGCCCCGGTCTCCCTTGTTGCTCTTCAACCTGTTGTTGCACACTTCTTTTACTATAATCAGCTGTCTCATTTCTCTTCACCTAGCCAAAACGTCTATTTGCTCTGTAGAACACTTGTTTATGGGATACAAATTACCTTGTATTGTATTAGGGTCATGTACTATGTTAGCTTCCATCTCTTCATTTAATGTTCTATTCCTTGGCATTAACTTGATTCAGCTCTTTCAGTTGTTGCCTTTTTTTTTTTTTTTTTCCTGGACATACCCTGTGGGTAGGAGATTGGACAGCCCTATTAGCACTCTTCCATTCTCAGCGATTCCTCCAGATTATTCTCCTTGTACTCTTTCATTTAATAACAAACAAAAACAACTTAACAAAATGATTCTGTTACCTTGAAGCCTGTGCCTTTAAATTTACTAGTTTCTTGCTGTCATTTTCTCTCATTCTTTGAAGAGTTTGGTATCCGGATATGATCTCCATTCCCCCCCACCCCCAGTCTTGTCATTATATATTTGGTAGCCTTGCCTATCAGTCTGTAATTTCTTGAGCTTGAACCCATCTGGAATTTATTTTTTTATATATGATATGAAGTAGAGCTTCATTCTTGATGATCCACTGGTGGGAATCACTTATGATAAACTTGGTCATTTGAAGAAAGATGCACAAATTCCCTCATGTATTGATTGAATTTAAAGAGAAGAAAAGGGCTAATAGAATTCTCATGAGCTTGAGTTTAAACATATTTTAATTTGATAGTAATACATAAGAATTGTACCTGAAATGGTGAAATCTGGCTATATTGAAATTTTGATTCAAGGAGAGGGGCTGTTTTGCTAACTAGTGTGGTAGAGCATTGGATAGTTTGAGAGGTCTGGCCATTTGCAAATCACTTACTTTCTTTTTTTGTACTACAAAGGGGAAAGAGTAATACATAAAATGCAATTAGTTGCATATATGTGTGTTTGTGTGTTCTGTAAACTCTGATGTTTAAGATCTAATAAAAATTAGAGAACTATTCTCTCCTAAGATGGTTCATAAGGTCACATTGTCTCTATTAAAAGCTTTGATTTCTCACCCAGCCAGAGCTTTGATCCATGAACCAGGAGGTTCAATTCCCAGTTAGGGCACATGCCCAGGTTGCAGGCTCCATCCTCAGTAGGGGGCGTGCAGGAGGCGGCCGATCAATGATTCTCTCTCCTCATTGATATTTCTGTCTCTCCCTCTCCCTTCCTCTCTCTGAAATAAATAAAAACATAAAAAGTAAATAAACTATTAAAAAAGCTTGATTTCTCTATACTGTGTGTTTTTTATAGGAAACCAGTTTTTTTAAAAAGAAGAAAATATTTGTTATTTGTGGTACTTTAATCTGAATGATGGGGGATAGGGAGGAATCTAGTGAACATTATTTCATGCAGCTATTATAAGCCTAAGGAAAAACAATTTAACTATTATTTCTTGTGAACCTATTCTTGAATTATGCTGTTAATGTTACCTTTTATGTTTTATTTACAGGTATATGATGTTGATTGATGGCACAAATGAAGTTTTTATGATTGATAGAGATAATTCAGTGTTCCATGTTTCAAATCTGGAATTCCCATTTCGTAAAGATCTCCGTATACATTTATCAAATACTCTGTTGGATGGGGTAAGTCATATTTTATCATTTTAAAAAATTAAATATTGCCATTTTTCTCTCTTATAAGTAAAAGTGTGTTTTTATTAATTAAATAGTAACTTTCTAATAAAATCTAGTTTTTTAAAAGTTTTTTTAAATTGAGGTATAACTGGCATATAGAGAATTGAATATAGTTTTTATTAGGATGCTAAGTTCTATTTATCTCTTATTTGGGTATGAGAGTAAGTGAATGAAGTTAAGTCTTATTTTTTTTTTTTGTTCTTCATGATTGAAAGACATTTTGTTGAAAAATACTACTTTTATTTTATTATTTTACTTACCAGTTGAATCTTAATTATGTGATACCACTTAATAAATTTTCCTTTGGTTCTTTAGCTATATGGACTACTAGTTTTTGTTTTTTTTAAGAAACTCTGCTTTTTAAAGCAACCACTGTACTTTTACATTTTAATTTTGAAAGGTGATAAGAATTTTTCCATTTCAGAAAAATCTATATTTAATGATCATAAAATTACTTGGTTAAAAATGTTGTAACTTTATATAATGCAAATAGCTTTCTTTTTCCCAATTCTAAAAATATTGATTCATTGTAAATAAAAATTAAAATAATATAAAAAATTACCAAAAAGCTGATAGAAATGATCTGAACTCATACCATTGCAGTAACTTCTTTTACCATTTTGATGAATTTTGTTCTAGACTTTTCTTTGTGCCAGAGTGTTCAATCTTATGTCTGCTCCTGAGGGATGTAACATATTCATACTACTGATAGCAATTCACAGCATGGATTCTTAAACAGAATGTGTGTCAGTTTTTCAGGGAGTTGATTCCTTCCAGTCCCAGTAAATTCTGGTTCAACATTGAAGAAAGTTAAGAAATTGTAAAAACTGATACTTGAAATTGTAGGAAGCTATAAGAAAGATGTAGAGCCCCCTTTCCCTCCAAGGAAAGGCAGTGAAGGTATGACAAGAAGATAAATCCCACAACCAAACACAGCAAACAGAAAGGACTGGAAACAAGCCTAGCAGAGATTACTCTGCAGAGAAAAATATAATCTTATTGGTGTATAGTTTTGCACATAAAGTGTAAATACTAATCGAGCTAACTTCTCAAATAGCCTGTTTACCCAAAAGCTAAAGAGAGAGCAAAATCTAAGTGGCGAATTTACAGGGAACTCATACAACTTAACAAAAGGAAGATAAACAACCCAATCAAAAAATGGGCAATGGACTTAAATAGATACTTTTTGAAAGAGGACATAACGAAGGCCAAGAGACATATGAAAACATGCTCAAAGTCACTAATCATCAGAGAGATGCAAATCAAAATGACAATGAGGTACCATCTCACACCTGTCAGAATGGTTACCATCAACAAATCAACAGACGTGCTGGCGAGGATGCAGAGAAAAAGGAACCCTCATACACTGCTGGTGGGAATGCAGACTGGTGCAGCCACTGTAGAGAACAGTATGGAGTTTCCTCAAAAAACTAAAAATGGAACTCCCATTTGACCCAGTGATACCACTTCTAGGAACATATCCCAAGAAAACAGGCCTCTAGTTTTAAATATTGATGTGTATATAATGCAGAAAGTTTGAACACATGTACAGTTCTAACAACCATATGTAAAGGATCTGTACATTGTCTTAAACACCGAGTTTTGAAAATTTAATGTTTGGTGAAGGAAAGAATGACCTTTCCATTTTAAGAGATAGTGTAACATAGTGATTATGAGCCCTAACTCTGACGGTGCCTTATTGGCTCCATCAGTTATTACATGAGGGACCTTATATAATTTTCTCAGTTTCCTTATCTATAGTGAAGTGAGGCTAATAACAGTACTTAGTTCTTGATGCTATTGTGAAGATTCTAAGTTAGATAATTTATAAAATTCTGATCATAGTGTCTGGCACATCGTAAAATGAATGGTTTATCTCTTTTAATATGCATTTATGTGAATTGTTAAGGGGGTTATCATTTTTTCACTTCTTTATGAATTATTGCATTTCTTCTGTGAGTTGACCATTCAAATCCTTATGTATTTTCCTGTTGGGTGTTCATATTTTTTTCATACTGATTTATGAGAATTTTTTGTTATGGGGGATATTCATGAACATTTTGAAAAATGTGTTTTTACTTTTCCTGGTATTTTTTTGTGGCATAAATTTAAATTTATGTAGGAAAAATTATAAACCACTTGATTTTTAATATGTGTCATTTTAAGAAAGATGCTTTCATTTATTTATTTATTTAATTTTGTTAATCCTCACCAGAGGATACTTTTTTCCATTGCTTTTCAGAGAGTGTGGAAGGGAGGGAGTGAAGGAGGAGTGGGGGAGAGAGAGAGAGAGAGAGAGAGAGAGAGAGAGAGAGG